GTGGGGATTTTTTTTTTTTTTTTTTTTTTTTAACTTAGACTGTATTTTATTCTGTAGAAGTTGGGTCACCCGGTCCAGCGTGACTAGAAAACACCATGCTTTTCAGCCCGGATGCTGGCTGCTTATCCTCTTTGCCAACAAGGCAAGCTCGCAAGAAGCAGTCACCAGGCACCCATTGGCCACATGCTGTCGTCCTCTTGCCTGGTGTACTGGTGTGTTCTATTCTTGTGCTTCGCTCCTGGCTGCTTTGGGGTCGTTAAGCGAAAGTCCAACTTTTCTCAGCGTGACATTGAGATTGGTATTTATCCCCCACCTGTGGCCCAGCTCCAGAATCGTCAGTGGCCATCTGCCTTGGTCTTCAGCCACCGCGGGTCCTGAGGGCTGGCCACGGTCCTGGGAGCCACAGCAAGGCAGTGCTGGAAAGATGGATGTGCAAGCTGCTTACAAAGAAGACGTGAGTCAACAGCGCTTAATGCAAGCAGCTTTCTTGCTGCCTGATACATTACAATTTTAGATGTTTATTCTCCTTTTTATTTTGGAAAATAGCTTTACCAGTGAGTCATGAAGCATAGCCAGTGCTCCCGTACAAGATGGCTTATAAAGAGTGGAAACGTCAGCATCGTGGTGTGGTCTGCAGTAATTCCCACACCCATTGCAGTGCAGCTTTCCGTCCCCACCTCTCAAGTGTGTGGTGACCTCTGAGGCTAGTTTCCCTGTCACCTTAAGTTGCCACCACCAAAGGGGACATCCCTGCTCTTCCTGCTGCCTTGTGCCAGTGCTGGCATCCTCAGGTGGTAGGTGCTCTGGTGCTGTGAACTGGCAGGAGCAGGCATCTCCTGGATTCTGGTGGTGGTCTGGGAAGACATGGGTGATCTTCAGCCAGGGTTCAGTAATGTTTAAGAGTATTTGGCTGGGTCTTCAAGAGCAAGGCACTGTTTGTTTCTCTGGAGGGGTATATGCTCTGCTGGAGAGTAATGTTGGTATCAGGGGCAGGCTTTATCCAGCTTAATGGTTAGGAAAAGCAGAGTTTCCTTGTGTGTCTTCCTGGTATTTGTTTTGAAATATTTCCTGCATTACCACAAGAAAATACAGTTTATTGCTCTTCTTTATGCCCATCCTCCTAAAAATGCTTGAACAGTGAGGTGTGCATGTCAAACTTGGAGTATTGACAGTGTATCGTTGCATCAATGTATCATTGACAGGCATCTAGACTCAAATACTGCAGAGCAAACTGGCTCCCAATACAAGAGTTTTCTTTACTGGGGAGGATAATGGAATATGGAATGTGGTTTGTCCTTCTGTAGTCAGCAATATCTCTGATCCTGAACCCCTCTTCTTGTGAGTCTGGCTTGATGGGTGATCTGTCCTGCCAGCTATAGATCAGTCTGTTGGGAGGGGGGATGTTAAACCAGCCTGAATGTTTTACTGCTGTTTGAGCTGCAGTGACAGTGTCGGACCGTAGCGAAGGATCTGCTCGGTGAACTGGTCTCCTTCAAGCTGTGCACGGCATTTTACAGAATAATTGGAAGGACTCTGAATTTTAGAAGCCAGCTAAAATAGTTGAATGCATGCCTTTGTTTAACAGAAGAAGGATGAGTAATATTTAGGCCTTCAAATAGTTTTCTGCTTTACACTTTCTTGAAACTGCTGGGATTCCTCTGCCTTTGTGGATAGTGTCCATGTTTAGTAATAACCCTTTACTTTTGAGTTAGTCCAATGAAAACCTGTAAAACCTGATCTGTATCTGAGCTACAAAGTGTCATGCTTCTCAAGTTCTGAAGATAACATTTTTAAAGAGGAAGCTATCTGAAAGGGTACTTGCCACAAAGTATATTTGTTTCCTCACATACACTTGTACACGGGGAAAATACTGGCTATGTGGCTATTTCCTTTGGGGTACATGGAGCGGTTGTAACCAGGTGGGACTCTGGCCCCACTTGGTGCCCATCTCCTTCTGTTGTGTCACGGCCACAGAATGTGTTCTTTGTGGCTGTCACTCCCTCGCAGGTGTGACTGCACATCTGAAACTTGTCACTTCGAGTTTCCTTGGGGGTGGTGGGGTACTTGGCAGTGAGCCTGGGGCACTTCTTCATAGCTGCAGCCTCTTCTCTTTGCCACTTTCACAGGAGTCCTTGGACCGCTGCAGTCATCTCCCACATATCTCTAGGCCATGGAGTAGAGAAGGCTTGAGGGGCTCCTCACTGGACAGCTGCTGTCCTCGGAATAATTCAGGGTGGCATGTTTTCAGTTGCTGCTCACCTTTAGGAAAGGCTGCTGAAACGCCAGGGGTTCACATCACTTGCTCTGATCTGCCTGCAGCCCACGGGTGAGGGACCCCCAACTAAGGGGGAGAACAGTTTGCACGGACTTTGGGGAGATGCATCTGTCTGCCTGGGTGTTTGTGATCTCCATCTGAAGTTAGTGAAGGTGTCTGAAGCTAACGAGTCTGCTTAGATTATCCCCCTTCTCTAAAGGATGGGTAATAGTTCTGGCAAAACTGAGACCCTGAGACATTTGTGATTGGCTTTCAGTGAAAACTGGGACTCGTACCAGAGCTGAGAATCACATGGATGTCTCCCAAGTATGGCAACTGCCTTTATCACACAGATGAATCTCTTATCTATCTTCTCCTAAGAAGTTTAAACTACAGGAAGGTGTGAAGTTAAACTTGTCCTCTATATCGTTTGGAATAACTGAAAACTCTGCTTTAGTCACTGGCAAAATAAGAGAAACCGAATCCAAGACAAAGCTGTGTTAGCAGGGGGAGATTAAAGTCTGTAAAGCATTTCTCTGAAATCTGTGAAGTGCTGATCTGTTGCAGATGCTGGCACCTTGCTTGTTCTCAGATGTTAACTACCATTAACTAAAACATATAACATGTAAACAAGCCTCTGCTGCTGAAATGCCTTCTTGTTGATAAAGCAAATAAGAGGGAGGAGAAAAATCCACAGCATGTTTTTGTCTTTGTGATACAACATGGGCTCCGAGTGAGTTTAGGAGACAAACACTTTGAAGAATACCTTGAAGAGACTTTGATATGAGTTGCTGCAGAGAGGGACCATCTGTGTTAGGGCGTTTTTTTCCCCCTCCTATTCCCTGCCCCCCACCTTAAAAGCCAGCTAAATGTTCACGTTGTTCTGCTTACACTGAATGTAGTTGTGTGGCCATGTAACCAGAAAGGGAGATGTTTTCCACTGGAGCAGTGAGGTGATTCAGCTCAAATGTATGTACACTCATAAAGTCCCAAAATCCAGTGTGAAGCAGTGAGCAGGAACATGCAGACAGGGAGAGAGATGTATTTTCCTGTTGCGGTGAGCTTTTGGGTTAGATTGGGTTAAACGTGTTAAGAAGTATCACCCCTTTTTTTGAATCTCTTGAGCTGCATCTCTAACGTGACTGAATTGGAGGGGAAGGAGAAGAGCCAGTCTTAGTCCAGGACTTCCCCAGCCTGGTGGTGTTGTGTGGCTACAGAGACATCCCGTGGCCAGATGAGGAACAGCCTGAACCGTGTCCCTTGTTCAGGCCTCTGAGATCCCTCAGTTCTTAAATTACTGCCCGCAGCTGTGACTGTACTAAGAAACTGGCAATTTTTTAAATTCAGAAACTGTAGTCACCATATGGTTCTTGTAGCAAGGACTTTGGATAACTCATCATTGTGAGGAAATCCTGCGGTGTTTTCCCCAGCAGCCCCAGGAGCCACGATGGTCTAAGCTGGGAAGGGCAAATCATCTGGAGAGAATTTGGGCGGCTTTGCTTTTCCATCATCCCGTGGCTGTGCTGGGCACTCTGCAAACATTAAAAGAGCATCTGTCTTCTCCAAAGCACTTCTAATCTCACTTGGATTTAGCAATCTCTCTTGCCTGTCTCTGGAGACCAGGGGCCTGTTGTGCACGTAGGTGCCGTGAAAGCATCAGGAAATAGTTGTTGTTCTGAAGGGCTTTGAGTAATAAAGGAGAGATTCCGAGGGGAATCCAGTCAGATACAGCGTGCGCGCGGTGACAGAATGAGTGTGGCCCACTTACTCCAAGAGTCTTTGATGCCATAGCTTCAAAAGAAGTGAGTCAGAAGAGGAGGAAACAGTGTTAGGGTAGGAGGTGAACAGGAATTATTTAGTTGTTTAGATGTTAAAAATACAGAGGCACAAGGAGTGGAATTTGGATTCTTGAAATGTTTGTTCTGCTTGTGTTAGTTCTGTCACCGTTACCAACAGGCAGGTGCGGGCTTGGTTTTAACTGTGCTGTAGCTTGAGGTTTGTGCTCGATTATCATGTTGCCTTACTGATAAAATGAACTAAAGGAAGGAAGCAGTATTTTCTAAAGATAGGCAGCTCAAACTATTTGTATCTCCTCCTTTCCCTGTCTCCCATCAACCCTATTGGAGCAGCTCTGGATGAGACTGCCTCCAAATGAGTGTGTGTTTACCTGTAAGATTAAAGCGGTGGTGAGGAGCGTGCTGGAACAAGTAGGAGGTAAACAGAGAACAGAAGAGGAGCGGTTAGGGCTATAAATAAATACCAGAAACTTTTCCTAGAAAATAGGGAGTGAATGCAAGTAGTCCTCTCTTCACAGGAATCTCCTTGTGCTTTTTCAGATCATCGTAAGGAAGCCGGTTGCTGGGATTTCCCCCCTGTGGCTGCCTGACCGCTGCTGAGCTGCCCCTCCCAGCCCATGTGGCTCTCCCCATGTTCCAAGAGTGCAACTGGTGCCCAACGCAATGTGTGTTTGTCAAACCATGGAAGTGGGCAAGTATGGCAAGAATGCCACTCGATCTGGAGACAGGGGGGTCCTGCTGGAGCCTTTCATTCACCAGGTGGGCGGCCACAGCAGCATGATGCGCTACGACGACCATACTGTCTGCAAACCCCTCATTACCAGAGAGCAGCGCTTCTACGAATCTCTGCCCCCAGAAATGAAGGAGTTCACACCCGAGTACAAAGGTGAGGCCTGTTGTCATTCCAGAATGCAGTTACCTGCTTCAAGAACCAGCCCTCTCATTTTCCTGCAGCTCTGCTGTCTTTTGGTGTCATCTTATTTGTTGATTTTAATTCTTTCTCTTTTGCAGGCTAGCAATTTGATAGGAGCCCTTGGAAAGGAGGAAGTCTTTTTTTGTAGGCACTCAAGGTTTAATGTGTTCCTCTTTCTAGGCAGAGAATATGCAGTGTGACAGTTGCAGTCTGAAGCTTAGGGTTACGGACGTGTAACTGAAGTAATTTTACTACAAAGTTATTGTCAATTACAGCCTTGACCTTGAGCAAACAAAGTTAAATCATACACTGAGCACTTGCATGTTCCAGTCCCGTAATTTATTGCTTCCTCATCACATCTCTTTTATGGGCCTGTCTCATAAAGCTGCTGAAGCAGGAAGCGCTGCTTTCCCGGTGCTGAGGTGAAGCCTTGTCCCCAGCCGCTCTGCAGGAATGGAATTTTCCAGCCTCTGTGTCGTTGTAGGAGGTCGGCAGCTCATCTGTGTCTTTTGGAAACGCTTTCAGCCATGTGTGTTTCTGTTCAGGATGGTGACACTGGCACGTAGCCTTCTGGGGGACTCGGTATTCCTGTGGCCTCTGCTTCTTTGTCGCCACGTGGCGTTGGGAGGACAGTGCTTCGGACAGCTGGGACCATCATCTGTTCAGGGTCTCGCCATTAGATCTGGCAGCAGCCTGAGGATCTCAGAGCAGTGTCAGCTTACCTACCTGTGTCTGTCTGTGGACTGTGAGTGAAAGATACAGTCTCCAACAGACAGGGCCTCCTGTACACTCAAGCCAGTCTGGAGCCACATGGAGCTCTAGTGACCCATCAGAAATCTCAACCGAAGCCTGTGTAGTTACTAGAATTGACCTGATATCAGCCTTTCCTTGGGAGATACATTTAAAACTGATCAAGCTGAGAGTCCAGATGGAGATCTGTCTTGAAATCAGATGCTTCCTGGTAGCCTAAAGGCATAGGACATACACTTCCATCCTGGTGTGGGACTTCATCCGAGAGTCCTGTGCAATTTCCTGATAGTCCCAGAAGTTGTTCTTACTGTTCTGAGGGGGGAGAGTATTGGGGATGATATTTCCTGAGCATTTGGGTGTTACTGTAAGCTTGCCTTCTGCAGGGGTGTTGTGAGGGGCATGTCCAGGCAGCCAGAGTGCTTGGAGTGGCATTTCTGTAGTGACATGCCGGAGTCCTGAGCTGCGCTGAAGTTGTGTTGAGCAACCAGAACTGTGTTAGCATTGTCATGTGCAGAGAAGGGAAAAGGAAGGACAGTAATGTGATGGGCCGCATCAGCTGAGCAGTGCAAGGTTTCCTCACATTTGTGATGAATCATTTGATTGTCTGCATCTAGCATCTGATATTCCGGGCAGCTATTCAATGCTGGTGACTAGCTAATGAAAGATTTTGGCCATTGCAAGTTGGGACATGGGCTGATAGCCTCATTTTCAGGGCTGAGGGAGTCCCAAAGATGAAGACATCAGCCCTAACTAGAAATGTCAGCTGTCCTGCTCCATGGCTGGCCAGCTAGATATATCCAGTCTGTGCTGAGAAAGGTCTATACCTTCCCTTGGACTATGATGCTTCCCAGGAGCCTTCAGAAGGTGAAACTGGATGGGGACACAAATGGTCCTGCTTGCCTACACCTGGCTGAGGTGGTTTTGCTTTCAGGAGCCCCTGTTTTTATTGCTAGGAAGCCCTGGGAGCTTGCAGATCCCTTTTCTGCAGTGCTGGCTGACCTGCCATAAGTGGCAGGTGTCACCTCAACCGTGCTCTGTTCTTCATAGCTCAGATGCTGGAGAGATCCTTAAGCAGAGAAAACACACTCCTCCTTCGCCAGCAGTGTCCTTGTCACAGAATTGTAGAGAGGTTTGGGTTGGAAGAGGCCTTAAAAATCATCCAGTTCCACCCCCCTACCATGGGCAAGGACACCTCTCACTAGACCAGGTTGCTCAAAGCTCTGTCCAGCCTGGCCTTAAACTTTGGAGATGGGGCATTCACATCTCCTGGGCAACCTGTACCAGTGTCTCACCACCCTCACAGTAAAGAATTTCTTCCTGACATCTAAATTTCCCCCTTTTCAGTTTAAAACCTTTACCCCTCATCCTATGGCTCCACTCCCTGATAAAGAGTCTGTCCCCAGCTTTCCTGTAGGCCCTTTAGGCCCTGAATGCCGCTCCAGTGTCTCTCCCTGGAGTCCAGGTAAATTATGTCAATTTTAGTTCCCTTCTCCTCCAATGCTGTAACCCCATTGTAGAAGGCCACCAGATTTATCAGACGCAATTTGCCCTTGGTGAAGCCATGTTGGCTGTCACTGATCACTTCCTTATTTTCCATGTGCCTTAGCAAAGATTTTAGGAGGATCTGCTCCATGATCTTGCTGGGCACAGAGGTGAGACTGACCAGCCTGTAGTTCCCTGCGTCTTCCTTTGGTGTTTCCTTCCAGAAAGGGCCCACATTTTCTCTAGTTTTCCTTTTGTCACCAACATACCTATTGAAGCTTTTCTTGTTGATCTTGATGTCCCTGGCTGGATTTAACTCTATCTGGGCTTTAGCTTGCCTAACCTGACCCCTGGCTGCTCGGACAATTTCTCTGTATTCCTCCCAGGCTACCTGTCCTTACTTCCACCCTCCGTAGGCCTCCTTTTTGCTTTTAAGTGTGTGTAGGAGCTCCTTGTTCATCCATGCAGGCCTCTTGGGGTTTTTTTTTGCCTGATTTCCTCTTCATTGGGATGCATCACTTCTGAGCTTGGAGGAGGTCAACAGCAGGAACACTTCTGCAGTACATAGATACCTCCCCAAATGAACTAGATGTATATTTTGTGGGCTTTGCCCTGCTCAGCATCTTGGTAGCCTGTGCTTTACTTTCTGCAGTTTGACGACATTTGCTGCAAGAGTGAATGGAAGGAAATAATCCCACCCCTCAGCCTACCAGCTGCGCTTTTGTCCTTAATTTCCTGTGGCTGGCAGAGCTTCCCCCACTGCTGCTGACTGATCAGGTAGCGACACAGCACTGTTTGGGGGATTTCTCCTCTGTTCTGCCCTAACAACATTTGGATTCTTGTAGTCTTAAACCTCCTCTCATTGCTCTGCTGCTCTGTGAGTTACGTTTTCCTGTCTCCCGTTGAACCTTTGGGTGCTGGTGGTTGTGGGAAACAGAACTGAGGTGTCATTTCTCTCTGCAGGTGTGGTATCTGTCTGTTTTGAGGGAGACAGCGATGGGTACATTAACCTGGTGGCCTATCCCTACGTGGAGAGCGAGGCACTGGAGCAGGATGATATGCCAGAGAGGGACCAGCCACGACGCAAGCACTCGCGTCGGAGCCTTCACAGATCAAGCAGCGGCACAGAGCACAAGGAGGAAAAGCCTGGCCTGGCCAGTGACAGCACTGAAAGGTAAAGAGGGCCCAGTGACAAAGTGCTGAGCAGGAAGTCTCTCGTCCCCTTTCAGCTCTGGTGCTCCTTTTGCTGGGGACATTTTGCATTTCCATACAGTAGCCAGGCTGTCTTGCACGTGCTCGTCTAAGCACACTGTGGACTAACTAGTCCAGCAAACTGTGTCAGTTCTGCCACGTTCAGGGCAAACTCATCCATCTGAAGTGCTTCTGACACAGGATAACCCATGGCAGTTTATTGGATGTGGAACCAAAGCCTGTGGAGCAGTTTCAAACACTCTTCAGTCCACCTGATTATTAACCCAGAGGATTTTTCCCAAAGGTACTTTGGGATAACTCATCATTGTGAGGAAATCCTGCGGTGTTTTCCCCAGCAGCCCCAGGAGCCACGATGGTCTAAGCTGGGAAGGGCAAATCATCTGGAGAGAATTTGGGCGGCTTTGCTTTTCCATCATCCCGTGGCTGTGCCGGGCACTCTGCAAACATTAAAAGAGCATCTGTCTTCTCCAAAGCACTTCTAATCTCACTTGGATTTAGCAATCTCTCTTGCCTGTCTCTGGAGACCAGGGGCCTGTTGTGCACGTAGGTGCCGTGAAAGCATCAGGAAATAGTTGTTGTTCTGAAGGGCTTTGAGTAATAAAGGAGAGATTCCGAGGGGAATCCAGTCAGATACAGCGTGCGCGCGGTGACAGAATGAGTGTGGCCCACTTACTCCAAGAGTCTTTGATGCCATAGCTTCAAAAGAAGTGAGTCAGAAGAGGAGGAAACAGTGTTAGGGTAGGAGGTGAACAGGAATTATTTAGTTGTTTAGATGTTAAAAATACAGAGGCACAAGGAGTGGAATTTGGATTCTTGAAATGTTTGTTCTGCTTGTGTTAGTTCTGTCACCGTTACCAACAGGCAGGTGCGGGCTTGGTTTTAACTGTGCTGTAGCTTGAGGTTTGTGCTCGATTATCATGTTGCCTTACTGATAAAATGAACTAAAGGAAGGAAGCAGTATTTTCTAAAGATAGGCAGCTCAAACTATTTGTATCTCCTCCTTTCCCTGTCTCCCATCAACCCTATTGGAGCAGCTCTGGATGAGACTGCCTCCAAATGAGTGTGTGTTTACCTGTAAGATTAAAGAGGTGGTGAGGAGCGTGCTGGAACAAGTAGGAGGTAAACAGAGAACAGAAGAGGAGCGGTTAGGGCTATAAATAAATACCAGAAACTTTTCCTAGAAAATAGGGAGTGAATGCAAGTAGTCCTCTCTTCACAGGAATCTCCTTGTGCTTTTTCAGATCATCGTAAGGAAGCCGGTTGCTGGGATTTCCCCCCTGTGGCTGCCTGACCGCTGCTGAGCTGCCCCTCCCAGCCCATGTGGCTCTCCCCATGTTCCAAGAGTGCAACTGGTGCCCAACGCAATGTGTGTTTGTCAAACCATGGAAGTGGGCAAGTATGGCAAGAATGCCACTCGATCTGGAGACAGGGGGGTCCTGCTGGAGCCTTTCATTCACCAGGTGGGCGGCCACAGCAGCATGATGCGCTACGACGACCATACTGTCTGCAAACCCCTCATTACCAGAGAGCAGCGCTTCTACGAATCTCTGCCCCCAGAAATGAAGGAGTTCACACCCGAGTACAAAGGTGAGGCCTGTTGTCATTCCAGAATGCAGTTACCTGCTTCAAGAACCAGCCCTCTCATTTTCCTGCAGCTCTGCTGTCTTTTGGTGTCATCTTATTTGTTGATTTTAATTCTTTCTCTTTTGCAGGCTAGCAATTTGATAGGAGCCCTTGGAAAGGAGGAAGTCTTTTTTTGTAGGCACTCAAGGTTTAATGTGTTCCTCTTTCTAGGCAGAGAATATGCAGTGTGACAGTTGCAGTCTGAAGCTTAGGGTTACGGACGTGTAACTGAAGTAATTTTACTACAAAGTTATTGTCAATTACAGCCTTGACCTTGAGCAAACAAAGTTAAATCATACACTGAGCACTTGCATGTTCCAGTCCCGTAATTTATTGCTTCCTCATCACATCTCTTTTATGGGCCTGTCTCATAAAGCTGCTGAAGCAGGAAGCGCTGCTTTCCCGGTGCTGAGGTGAAGCCTTGTCCCCAGCCGCTCTGCAGGAATGGAATTTTCCAGCCTCTGTGTCGTTGTAGGAGGTCGGCAGCTCATCTGTGTCTTTTGGAAACGCTTTCAGCCATGTGTGTTTCTGTTCAGGATGGTGACACTGGCACGTAGCCTTCTGGGGGACTCGGTATTCCTGTGGCCTCTGCTTCTTTGTCGCCACATGGCTTTGGGAGGACAGTGCTTCGGACAGCTGGGACCACCATCTGTTCAGGGTCTCGCCATTTGATCTGGCAGCAGCCTGAGGGTCTCAGAGCAGTGTCAGCTTACCTACCTGTGTCTGTCTGTGGACCGTGAGTGAAAGATACAGTCTCCAACAGACAGGGCCTCCTGTACACTCAAGCCAGTCTGGAGCCACATGGAGCTCTAGTGACCCATCAGAAATCTCAGCCAAAGCCTGTGTAGTTACTAGAATTGACCTGATATCAGCCTTTCCTTGGGAGATACATTTAAAACTGATCAAGCTGAGAGTCCAGATGGAGATCTGTCTTGAAATCAGATGCTTCCTGGTAGCCTAAAGGCATAGGACATACACTTCCACCCTGGTGTGGGACTTCATCCGAGAGTCCTGTGCAATTTCCTGATAGTCCCAGAAGTTGTTCTTACTGTTCTGAGGGGGGAGAGTATTGGGGATGATATTTCCTGAGCATTTGGGTGTTACTGTAAGCTTGCCTTCCGCAGGGGTGTTGTGAGGGGCATGTCCAGGCAGCCAGAGCGCTTGGAGTGGCATTTCTGTAGTGACATGCCGGAGTCCTGAGCTGCGCTGAAGTTGTGTTGAGCAACCAGAACTGTGTTAGCATTGTCATGTGCAGAGAAGGGAAAAGGAAGGACAGTAATGTGATGGGCCGCATCAGCTGAGCAGTGCAAGGTTTCCTCACATTTGTGATGAATCATTTGATTGTCTGCATCTAGCATCTGATATTCCGGGCAGCTATTCAATGCTGGTGACTAGCTAATGAAAGATTTTGGCCATTGCAAGTTGGGACATGGGCTGATAGCCTCATTTTCAGGGCTGAGGGAGTCCCAAAGATGAAGACATCAGCCCTAACTAGAAATGTCAGCTGTCCTGCTCCATGGCTGGCCAGCTAGATATATCCAGTCTGTGCTGAGAAAGGTCTATACCTTCCCTTGGACTATGATGCTTCCCAGGAGCCTTCAGAAGGTGAAACTGGATGGGGACACAAATGGTCCTGCTTGCCTACACCTGGCTGAGGTGGTTTTGCTTTCAGGAGCCCCTGTTTTTATTGCTAGGAAGCCCTGGGAGCTTGCAGATCCCTTTTCTGCAGTGCTGGCTGACCTGCCATAAGTGGCAGGTGTCACCTCAACCGTGCTCTGTTCTTCATAGCTCAGATGCTGGAGAGATCCTTAAGCAGAGAAAACACACTCCTCCTTCGCCAGCAGTGTCCTTGTCACAGAATTGTAGAGAGGTTTGGGTTGGAAGAGGCCTTAAAAATCATCCAGTTCCACCCCCCTACCATGGGCAAGGACACCTCTCACTAGACCAGGTTGCTCAAAGCTCTGTCCAGCCTGGCCTTAAACTTTGGAGATGGGGCATTCACATCTCCTGGGCAACCTGTACCAGTGTCTCACCACCCTCACAGTAAAGAATTTCTTCCTGACATCTAAATTTCCCCCTTTTCAGTTTAAAACCTTTACCCCTCATCCTATGGCTCCACTCCCTGATAAAGAGTCTGTCCCCAGCTTTCCTGTAGGCCCTTTAGGCCCTGAATGCCGCTCCAGTGTCTCTCCCTGGAGTCCAGGTAAATTATGTCAATTTTAGTTCCCTTCTCCTCCAATGCTGTAACCCCATTGTAGAAGGCCACCAGATTTATCAGACGCAATTTGCCCTTGGTGAAGCCATGTTGGCTGTCACTGATCACTTCCTTATTTTCCATGTGCCTTAGCAAAGATTTTAGGAGGATCTGCTCCATGATCTTGCTGGGCACAGAGGTGAGACTGACCAGCCTGTAGTTCCCTGCGTCTTCCTTTGGTGTTTCCTTCCAGAAAGGGCCCACATTTTCTCTAGTTTTCCTTTTGTCACCAACATACCTATTGAAGCTTTTCTTGTTGATCTTGATGTCCCTGGCTGGATTTAACTCTATCGGGGCTTTAGCTTGCCTAACCTGACCCCTGGCTGCTCGGACAATTTCTCTGTATTCCTCCCAGGCTACCTGTCCTTACTTCCACCCTCCGTAGGCCTCCTTTTTGCTTTTAAGTGTGTGTAGGAGCTCCTTGTTCATCCATGCAGGCCTCTTGGGGTTTTTTTTTGCCTGATTTCCTCTTCATTGGGATGCATCACTTCTGAGCTTGGAGGAGGTCAACAGCAGGAACACTTCTGCAGTACATAGATACCTCCCCAAATGAACTAGATGTATATTTTGTGGGCTTTGCCCTGCTCAGCATCTTGGTAGCCTGTGCTTTACTTTCTGCAGTTTGACGACATTTGCTGCAAGAGTGAATGGAAGGAAATAATCCCACCCCTCAGCCTACCAGCTGCGCTTTTGTCCTTAATTTCCTGTGGCTGGCAGAGCTTCCCCCACTGCTGCTGACTGATCAGGTAGCGACACAGCACTGTTTGGGGGATTTCTCCTCTGTTCTGCCCTAACAACATTTGGATTCTTGTAGTCTTAAACCTCCTCTCAATGTGCCTTAGCAAAGATTTTAGGAGGATCTGCTCCATGATCTTGCTGGGCACAGAGGTGAGACTGACCAGCCTGTAGTTCCCTGCGTCTTCCTTTGGTGTTTCCTTCCAGAAAGGGCCCACATTTTCTCTAGTTTTCCTTTTGTCACCAACATACCTATTGAAGCTTTTCTTGTTGATCTTGATGTCCCTGGCTGGATTTAACTCTATCTGGGCTTTAGCTTGCCTAACCTGACCCCTGGCTGCTCGGACAATTTCTCTGTATTCCTCCCAGGCTACCTGTCCTTACTTCCACCCTCCGTAGGCCTCCTTTTTGCTTTTAAGTGTGTGTAGGAGCTCCTTGTTCATCCATGCAGGCCTCTTGGGGTTTTTTTTTGCCTGATTTCCTCTTCATTGGGATGCATCACTTCTGAGCTTGGAGGAGGTCAACAGCAGGAACACTTCTGCAGTACATAGATACCTCCCCAAATGAACTAGATGTATATTTTGTGGGCTTTGCCCTGCTCAGCATCTTGGTAGCCTGTGCTTTACTTTCTGCAGTTTGACGACATTTGCTGCAAGAGTGAATGGAAGGAAATAATCCCACCCCTCAGCCTACCAGCTGCGCTTTTGTCCTTAATTTCCTGTGGCTGGCAGAGCTTCCCCCACTGCTGCTGACTGATCAGGTAGCGACACAGCACTGTTTGGGGGATTTCTCCTCTGTTCTGCCCTAACAACATTTGGATTCTTGTAGTCTTAAACCTCCTCTCGTTGCTCTGCCGCTCTGTGAGTTACGTTTTCCTGTCTCCCGTTGAACCTTTGGGTGCTGGTGGTTGTGGGAAACAGAACTGAGGTGTCATTTCTCTCTGCAGGTGTGGTATCTGTCTGTTTTGAGGGAGACAGCGATGGGTACATTAACCTGGTGGCCTATCCCTACGTGGAGAGCGAGGCACTGGAGCAGGATGATATGCCAGAGAGGGACCAGCCACGACGCAAGCACTCGCGTCGGAGCCTTCACAGATCAAGCAGCGGCACAGAGCACAAGGAGGAAAAGCCTGGCCTGGCCAGTGACAGCACTGAAAGGTAAAGAGGGCCCAGTGACAAGGTGATGAGCAGGAAATCTCTCGTCCCCTTTCAGCTCTGGTGCTCCTTTTGCTGGGGACATTTTGCATTTCCATACAGTAGCCAGGCTGTCTTGCACGTGCTCGTCTAAGCACACTGTGGACTAACTAGTCCAGCAAACTGTGTCAGTTCTGCCACGTTCAGGGCAAACTCATCCATCTGAAGTGCTTCTGACACAGGATAACCCATGGCAGTTTATTGGATGTGGAACCAAAGCCTGTGGAGCAGTTTCAAACACTCTTCAGTCCACCTGATTATTAACCCAGAGGATTTTTCCCAAAGGTACTTTGGATATGGGTTTCTACCTTCTCACACCAGCCAGAGCTCCCTGAGAAACAAGTGTTCCTGCTTACTCTTATCAGTTGCAGTCCAACCTGGCAGAGATGTTAGATAGACCAGATCCTTGAGGTTTGGGTCCACAGCGAGGGTTATTAGTGAGAATTTGCTGTTAAGAAGGTGGTAGGAGAAGGAACAGGAGATGGCCATGTGCAAGGGGAGGACATGGCAGTTGTAAGTACCTGGAGAAGACATGGATTCTAACAGGCAACTTTGTTGTGTCCTTATTGCAGCAGCATCCAGGAAACGAAGAGTCCCAGGGTGGATTTGCACATCCATTCAGATGTTCCATTTCAGATGTTGGATGGGAACAGTGGTCTGAGCTCTGAAAAGATCAGCTACAACCCCTGGAGCCTGCGCTGCCACAAGCAGCAGCTGAGCCGCATGCGCTCAGAGTCCAAGGACCGAAAACTCTACAGTATCCTTTGGGAAGCAGAGTCTGCCCTGGCCTTCGTGTTTGTGCCCAAGGTGACTTAACTTCCGTTGGCTTTCCCATCGTTCACACAAGAAAAACTGTATTATATGTTTCTTTTTACTGTTCCTTCCTGCTTTCCATGCAGTGACACTAATGTCTGACACTGAAGCTCAGAGAAGCCACGTGTCTGACTAGATCCCGTGTTTTTTTTTTCTCTGGTCATAGAATCATAGAATTGTCCAGGCCGAAGGGACCTCCAAAGGTCATCTAGTCCGACCTCCCCGCAGTCAGCAGGGACACTCCCAACTAGACCAGGTTGCCCAGGGCCTCGTCGAGCCTCTCCTTGAATATCTCCAGGGAAGGGGCCTCAACCACCTCCCTGGGCAACCTGTTCCAGTGCTCCACCACCCTCAAGTCCTTTGTTGACTTGAGTTTTGAACTGTAGTTTCTCACGTCAGGCTTTGCCCGGCAGCAGATGCAGGTCTGCCCCGATCAGTAATCCCTTGGGAGGGAGCTGTGTTTGTCCTTGTCGCCTTTCTTGAGTCTCTTCCAGTTCTGCTGTGTCCTTCTGGAGACCATGACCAGAACTGCACACAACAGGGAAGATGCAGGTGAACCAGAGGTTTCCACTGGTGTTCAATGCTGTTTTTTCTCCTCTCCCTCATAATCCCTAACACACTCTCTTGTTCCAAATGCTGTTCCGTTACCCCCAGATCCCATTCCTGACTGGTAATGGCTCAAAACACATCGCTTTATGCATTAAGAATCATTTTCTCCTTATGTTTATTGTCTTACGTGTAAACTCTAGTGAATTTTGCCAGCCCATTTAATGGTTGATTGCAAAAATAGATAACTGTTTTTGCAATCTTGAGTAACTTGGTGCTTTGAGTGAATTTGTCATCTTGCTCTTCACTCACTTTTCTGGGTCACTTGTGCAGATCCATGCTCTTCAACACAGAGACCCTGCTGGCGACTGGCTGTGGGACCAGCCAGGCTGGTTTGTAGTTCCCTAGTTCTCCGCAAATCACAGAATCACATGGGGTTGGAAGGGACCTCTGGAGATCATCTAGTCCAACCCCCTGCCAGAGCAGGTCCACCTGGAGCAGGTTGCACAGGAATGTCGTCCAGGACAATTTTGAACATCTCCAGAGACGGAGACTCCACCACCTCTCTGGGCAGCCTCTTCCAGGGCTCTGCCACCCTCAAAGTGAAGAAGTTCCTCCTTGTGTTTAGATGGAACTTCTTACGTTCAACTTCATGCCCGTAAGAAGTAGTTGAAATTAGTGTTGCTGTAGCCCCTATTCAGTCCCTTGGTACTGAGGTGGTGTTAAACGAGTTACATCTCTCTTATTTTCTGTTTGAGGTGGGATCTATTCCCTTGGCATTTCAGTTTGAGACTTCTCTGAACTCTTAAGGGAAGTTTTGGCTTGAGAATCCCTTAAGCTCTTCCCCAGTAAACAAGCGAATTATTAATCTATATTTCTTTTTAGGGGGCCTCTTCACACCCCCATCCCACCCTCCTCCCCTGTAGCCCCTTTTGTACTTTGTCTTCAGACTCTTCGGGCAGCCTGACTGGCTTCTTCATGTGGTTGGAGATAGATTGGTTACTTTCTGTGCCTTCACAAATGACTGCTCATGCTTTTGTCTTGAACTTGCCCACTTGTGGGCTGGTTTTGTTTCACCTGCTGGAGCTTGATTCTGTTTTCCGCACATAGAAACAAACTTACTTTTAATAGCTGTATTCTTCACCCTTTTAACTGTGTGGGCTTCCTTTTCCTATTCTCAAACGTGTGCTTTGAGCCTCCAGCTTTTATTTTTAAATAGCCTGCATCACTTGAGGAGAGGTAATTCTTTTTGGCTGGCCTTTTTAATCACGCTTCCTTATTTTTATCAAGTTCCTTTTTCAAAATCAACCACAGTTGATGATAGATTTTTTTTTTTCCTTTTTTTTCCTAAATGTTGAACTTCCTCGCAGGTTTGATCTGCCAGTTTTCTGGTTGCTGTTTCAGCATAACACGTTGAACTGTGCCCTGCAGGGGTTCTTGGGGCAAACATCAGGGTTGTTTTTTCTCCCCTTTGGGACCAGCTGCTGCACTGATGGTCTGGGGTTTGTTCCCAGCGCTGTGCCCTAATGGAGGCTTTGCCCTTTGTGCGTGGAGGTAATTGCAGGCTCCCGTAACCGTTCTGCTTCCTGCCTTTGTGGCCCCCCCTCGGTTCCCCCCCCGCCTTGGGCAGTGTTGCTCTTCTGGGCAGGCCAACAGCAACAGCGCTGAGCCCTGAGTCGTCAGTCCGTGGGGATTGTATTGTTTATCCATGTGGTTAAATTGCTAATTTTGATTAGGCTTCAAGCTCTTCCTTAACGTATCAGCAATTCTTACTGGCAGACCCTCTCTTTCCTGACACCGCTCTGCTCTTCAGTTCCCCCTGCTGAGTTTCCAGTATGCCCACATGTCACCTCCTTGCTTACTGGTGGCCATTCCCATTTCCAGGCTGATTTCTTCAAAGCCTGGGTGCCCCTGTTGTGGGATTTTGTCCTTTTCTTCACTTCCCCAAACAGTTTGTTCTGTCTGTCCTTTGTGTTCCTATTCGTTTGTTGCCCAACCCTATCTCATGCTGGCCCAAGTCTCTGTCTGGTGGCCCCGGGGAGGGGTGTCTCTGACAGGTGAGCTCTCCTTGACGCATCTCCCAGAGTTCCTTTTGCTGGAGAACGTGGTGCATCACTTCAAGCTTCCCTGCGTACTTGATCTGAAGATGGGGACCAGACAGCACGGAGATGATGCGTCTGAGGAGAAGGCTGCTCGGCAGATGAAGAAGTGTGAACAGAGCACTTCGGCCACCTTGGGCGTGCGCGTGTGTGGGATGCAGGTAGGGATCCCCAAGGCTGCGGGTGCTGCACGTTCCCTTTCGCAGCCCCATTAGACCTCCCAGTTAGTGTCTTCTGCTGAGCGCTGGGTTACGGAGTCTTCCACTTCAGGTAGGTACCTCAGTGTTCACGGTATATGCTTTTTCTTTTCATTTCTAATCCTGGAACAAAGGAACCTGCTTCTTCTGAGATTAGCCTGCTTGATCCAAAGCTGTTTTGCTCACAGACAATTAGGGGATTTGCAATAAAATTATTTTTGTGGTTTAGTGTTCAGCTGGAATCACGGTGCCTAGGGAAGGAGGTGTCCCTCTGTCCCAGCATCAGCTGACACTTGCTTCCTTGGTGTACTGGGCAGTAAGAAGTTGCTCTTCTCTTGAGGCCGGGGCCTGTGCACAAGGATTTGAGGCTGGTGCTGTTGTGCAACAGTTGTGCCTTTCCCCACCGGCGGGAGGATTTTGTAACCCAGAGTCTGCCCACAGACTCTGAAGCAATGAGGGCCCTTCATTAATCACATGCCCCATAATAAGGGCAGTACGTGCCAGCAGCTCCCTCTGCCAGAGCATTGTCCGACTTGCTCTAAGACGTGACTTTTTAAGCCTCGGGGCCTGTTGTGTCACGCTTTTTATGGAGGCTTGGACTGACGAGCTGCCCTTTGGGTGTCCTGGGAGAGAACCGGTGCTTGGGTGCCCTGGCTGTGCCCGTGGGATGCTCCCATGAGCTGCTTTGGGATTCAGGGAGCAGGCAGAGCTGTTTCCTGCTCCCTCTTGGGCATGGTGGGCATAGAACCAGTTCCCTCTGCTCTGTTGGTCCAAGCCAGCTCAGGGGTCTCTGCGTGGCCTTCACCTGGTGCTCCCGCTTGACGTGCGTTTCCTTTGGCTTTCTAGGTCTATCAGCTGGACACGGGGCATTACTTATGCAGGAATAAATACTATGGACGCGGTCTTTCCATTGAGGGCTTCCGCAACGCCCTCTACCAGTATCTCCACAACGGCATCGAGCTGCGCAAGGACCTCTTTGAGCCTATCCTCGCCAAACTGCGAAGCCTGAAGGCGGTTTTGGAGAGACAGGCCTCCTACCGCTTCTACTCCAGCTCCCTCCTCATCATTTACGATGGGAAGGACAGCAGGGCAGGGTCGTTCGTGGAGCGCCGGCCGGAGACGCGCCTCAAGCGGGTGGACAGCTCTCTGCCCGAGAGCCTTCAGGACGGCGGCGGCACCGAGCCCGGCTCCTCGGCCCAGCCCAAGGTGGACGTGCGTATGATTGACTTTGCGCACAGCACCTTCAAAGGCTTTCGCGACGACCCCACCGTGCACGACGGACCCGACATGGGTTACGTGTTCGGGCTGGAAAGCCTCATCAACATCATGGAACAGATGCGTGAGGAAAACCAGTAGCCCCGGGCTACGGCCTCTTATTCTTGTCCTGGTGGCAGGAGCAGACATGACCACCTACTACCACAGGAAAAAAGCAGACAACTTTGGTTTTAAACAATTGTATTGCTCCATTGTTTTTAAATGTACTTGGATAGAAGAGCTGAGGGGAGGCAGGATGGAAGAGCTCCTCATGCCAACCAGATGGTTCTGACCGCACTGGCTCTGCCTGCTGGAGGAGATTCTGTAGATGCCTGCTGGGTGCTGGGTTGTCCCGGTTCTTCGCTTGTCGCGTGTGCGTTCTGGAGGGAGGACCTGGACGTAGGGAAGAGGAGGAAGCAGGAGAGCAGGGGGGCTCTTTGGGGGGAGTGGAGCTGTGGCGTGAGTAGCTTCCACCTTCAGGAGCCCCCAGGAGAGCCTTCCCTTTGAAATTCTCCTGAGTTATTTGGAAAGGGTGCTTGACTACCGGTCGGCAGCCTTGGTGGGGCTGATGGTGAGCAGCGCGGGTGCTGGTCTTGGTGTTCGGTGGCACTGGCTCTGCCCTGGGTTTTGCTGATGGGGCTCAGCTTTTGATGCTGCCTTTTTTTTTTTTTTTTTTTTTTGCTGTTTGGGCACTGTGAATAACCAACCCAAACAGGGAAATACAAATGACCAAATGCAACCCCTGGCAGAGCCGCAGCCCCAAGGGAAGGCCACGCACCTGGAGCTGTGCTCGAGCCCGGGGTGGCACGGGCAGGGCTGCGTAGGGGCAGGAAGGGGGCTCTGCAGGAGTAACTCTGCCCTGGACCACTGACCAAGCAAGAACTCAGCTCGTGGGCTAGCAATAGTATCTGTAGCAGTTAACGTGACCCCAGCTGTGCAGCGGGGCCTTTCGGACCATTTCAACCCTCCCCCCTCGTGTAATGTTGGTCCCACAGGTTGCACGCGACTGTGTCCCTCCAGCCTGAGGCTGCTCTCGTCCCCCGGCAGGGCTTCTGTTCTCCTGGCAGGTCCCTGTACGGGGATGGTAGAAGGGGAGGCTGAGGGTTAGGGCTGAGTCCCCTTTGCCTCCTTGGGGGTCTCCATGGGGGCAGGTGAGGACCTGGCTGAGGGGCGAGTGCCACCACCTGACTGTTTGGCTGTGCTTCATGGGGTGAAGTCTTTCCCCAAATAAATGAAAGAGCCAGCTGGGCTCCCTCCTGGAGCCAGTGCTTTACCCGTGGCTTCCTTTGATGAGGGCATTAATGTTTGATACCGTGGCCTGGTGGTACCAAACCGTACCCCCCACTCCCCCCACCCCCTGCATCACCCCCTCACCCCGTGTTTCTGTGCTGGGACCCCTGGTTCCTCCCTCCCCCATGTCACTGATTCGTTCCATGGCGTTACCATTACTGGTACCATTACTCTGCCTGAGAAACTCTGCCTGGGTACCTGTGAGGCCAGGGTTGGGTTGTTTGGTTCTGTTCTGGTTTGTTTTTGTTTTTTTTACTTCAGGAAAGCTTTTTTGGGGAATACTCTCCCTGCATGTAGCATGTGTGCACAGTCTGCTTGGAAAGTGTTGGTGCCCGGCTCGTGGCCGGAGCTGCCCCAGCGGGCACAGGTGGGGAAAGGGGCAGGGGGAAGAGCTGGCTTTGTCCTACACCGTACCTCTGCCTGTCCCCCAGCTTGTCCGGGTCACCCCTCTCTGGCCAAGGACCTTCATTCAGCAGTGCTCTCCCCTGCCCTGGGTTACTGCTCCCTCGCCTCTGCCCCCCCAGGCGGGGCTCGGGGGGGTTTCAGGGAACGGGTTTGCAGGAGGGATGGAGCTGGGGGAGCAACGGGTGCCCCCAGGTCCCCCAAACAGCCGCGTTACCCTCCCTGGCCCAGCCCACCTTGTGCATGTCCCCAGCGGGCAGGGCCCAGGGCCGTTCCTCCCGGGGACACCCCGGCTGTTCCCCACCTCCCTGGGCCGGGGGCAATGGAAGAGGCGGCTGCTCCCTCAGAGCCCTGAGCCCCTTCCCTTTGGACCACCGCCGTGGGACTCCACAGCTTGTACATAGCCTTGCCCCCCGTTTGTTTTTACATGAATAATCACCCTGTTTGTGCTTCACAGAGAACCAAAAACCACCATTAAAGGATCCGTTTTTGTCCGTGGTGTGCCGTGCCTGCCTGTTGCCGGGGGTCGGGGTGGGGGGCTCGGGCAGGACCCCTCTGCAGGCGGCTTAAATGTCTCATCGGGGGTCGCCCCCGTCCTTGCCCCGGGGCAGGGCACAGAAGCAGCTCTCGGGGTGGGAGCCCAGCGGGACCGGGACCCCTCTGCCCCGGCAGCGCCGTGGGTGCCCGCTCCGCTGCTGATCCCCGCTTGCTTTTCGGGCGGCGGGAGGCGCTAGGACCCGGGGCGGGCCCGTGGAGCCTGTGGCGGGCGCTAGGACCCGGGGCGGTCGGCAGGACCCCGGGGTGGGCACTAGGACCCGGGGCGGGCGGAGGCCGCATGGTGGGCACTAGGACCCGGGGCGGGTGTAGGACCTGGGGCGGTCGGAGTCTCTATGGCGGGCACTAGGACCCAAGTCGGTCGGCAGGACCCCGGGGTGGGCACTAGGACCCGGGGCGGTTCGGCGTCTCCATGGCGGGCACTAGGACCCGGGGTGGGCACTAGCACCCGGGGGCACTAGGCGGGCACTAGGACCCGGGGCGGTCGGAGGACGCATGGTGGGCACTAGGACCCATGGTGGGCACTAGGACCCGGGGCGGGCGGAGGACGCATGGTGGGCACTAGGACCCGGGGCGGGCGTAGGACCCGGGGCGGTCGGGGTCTCCATGGCGGGCGCTAGGACCCGGGGCGGTCGGAGTCTCCATGGCGGGCACTAGGACCCGGGGCGGTCGGCATGACCCGGGGCGGGCACTAGGATCCATGGTGGGCACTAGGACCCGGGACGGGCACCCGGGGCGGTCGGCAGGACACACACACACACACACACACCCCCTCCCGGGGTGGGCACTAGGACCCGGGGCGGGCGCTAGGACCCGGGGCGGTCGGGGTCTCCATGGCGGGCGCTAGGACCCGGGGCGGGCAGGGGGCGTGGCGGTGGGGCGGTGACGCGGAAGTGGCGCGCGGCGGGCGCTGACGTGTCGGCGCGGGCGCGGGGGGATGCGGGCGCTGATCCTGGTGGGCGGCTTCGGGACGCGGCTGCGGCCGCTGACCCTGAGCCGGCCCAAGCCGCTGGTGGAGTTCTGCAACAAGGCGGTGCTGCTGCACCAGCTGGAGGCCCTGCGGCAGGTGGGTGGATAGGGCTGGGAATACTGGGGACACTGGGAGGGGGACACCATGAACAGTAGGGTGGGGTATGGAGGGGTAGGACTGGGGACATTGGCGACGCTGGGGATACTGGGAGGGGGACACCATGGCCAGCAGGGTGGGTATGGAGGGGTAGGACTGGGGACATTGGTGACGCTGGGGATACTGGGAGGGGGACACCATGGACAGCAGAATGGTTATGGATGGATAGGGCTGGGGATACTGGGGACATTGGGAGGGGGACACCATGAGCAGCAGGGTGGGGTATGGAGGGGTAGGACTGGGGACACTGGGGATACTGGGAGGGGGACACCATGGGCAGCAGAATGGTTATGGATGGATAGGGCTGGGATTACTGGGAACACTGGGAGGGGGACACCATGGACAGCAGGATGGGGTATGGACGGGTAGGGCCGGGGACACTGGGAGGGGGGCACCGTGGGCAGCAGGGTGGTTATGCATGGATAGGGCTGGGTGATATGGGGGACACTGGGAAGGGAACACCATGAGCAGCAGAATGGTTATGGATGAATAGGGCTGGGGATACTGGGAACACTGGGGACACTGGGAGGGGGACACTGGGGGCAACAGAGTGGGTATGGGTGGATAGGGCTGGGAATACTGGGGACACTGGGAGGGGGACACCATGAACAGTAGAGTGGGGTATGGAGGGGTAGGACTGGGGACATTGGCGACGCTGGGGATACTGGGAGGGGGACACCATGGCCAGCAGGGTGGGTATGGAGGGGTAGGACTGGGGACATTGGTGACGCTGGGGATACTGGGAGGGGGACACCATGGACAGCAGAATGGTTATGGATGGATAGGGCTGGGGATACTGGGAACACTGGGAGGGGGACACCATGGCAAGCAGGGTGGGTATGGAGGGGTAGGACTGGGGACACTGGGAACACTGGGGACACTGGGAGGGGGACACCATGGACAGCAGGGTGGGTATGGAGGGGTAGGACTGGGGATACTGGGAGGGGGACACCATGGGTAGCAGCGTGGGTATGGATGGATAGGGCTGGGGATACTGGGGACATTGGGAGGGGGACACCATGAGCAGCAGGGTGGGGTATGGAGGGGTAGGACTGGGGACACTGGGGATACTGGGAGGGGGACACCATGGGCAGCAGAATGGTTATGGATGGATAGGGCTGGGATTACTGGGAACACTGGGAGGGGGACACCATGGACAGCAGGATGGGGTATGGACGGGTAGGGCCGGGGACACTGGGAGGGGGGCACCGTGGGCAGCAGGGTGGTTATGCATGGATAGGGCTGGGTGATATGGGGGACACTGGGAAGGGAACACCATGAGCAGCAGAATGGTTATGGATGAATAGGGCTGGGGATACTGGGAACACTGGGGACACTGGGAGGGGGACACTGGGGGCAACAGAGTGGGTATGGGTGGATAGGGCTGGGAATACTGGGGACACTGGGAGGGGGACACCATGAACAGTAGAGTGGGGTATGGAGGGGTAGGACTGGGGACATTGGCGACGCTGGGGATACTGGGAGGGGGACACCATGGCCAGCAGGGTGGGTATGGAGGGGTAGGGCTGGGGACATTGGTGACGCTGGGGATACTGGGAGGGGGACACCATGGACAGCAGAATGGTTATGGATGGATAGGGCTGGGGATACTGGGAACACTGGGAGGGGGACACCATGGCAAGCAGGGTGGGTATGGAGGGGTAGGACTGGGGACACTGGGAACACTGGGGACACTGGGAGGGGGACACCATGGACAGCAGGGTGGGTA